AAAAATGCCTTACTATACATGAAGAAAGACATCTTTCATACCGCGAGTCTATCAGCGAGTACAATCACCAGATGTGTCGAAGAAATCTCGGGTAATGTATCCGTACGCCCAGCTGCAGCAGAAGATGAAAGAAGACATACCCGAGCATTTTCTGCCTCCTGCAGTTCGAGGAGCCTCTGAGCTCGGGCCAGGTGGTCCATCTTCTCAAACGCTTTAATCTAAAGGGAGAAAACAAAACGTTCTCTTTTCATATCGCAACACGTTAACGCTCTCCGTGTAAATCTCGCATGTCGATGGAACATTATGATTCGAGGACTCGTGGAATGAAAAGAAAACACGACGGTCACGAATGCTGCATTTTGAATTTGTGGGTGAACACAGACATTCGGTTACCTGAACCCCCATTTGCTGGGTCGCATAAGTAGCCAAGAAAGTGGAGCAGAAAACAGTGGGATAAAGAGACATCAACATGAGCAACCAAGCAGTAAACCCAATGAGACAAAACCAAAGGGCTTCACAAATCGGACATCTGCAGAATATTCATCAGGAAGCCGCGGGTCTAAAAATAGATCGGACCGAATCCACGTGAGTAATCCCAACCTTGCCCAGGAAGGATTTGTTGGCAGGGTCCTCCTCCTTCTCCGAGCTCTGCTCGTCCGACATCTGGCCGAGGCGGGCGATGGTGGGCTTCAGGGCCACAGGAGGGGGCGGCGGCTTGTTCCCAGCCACCGCATCGCTGCTGCTGACGGTGCTGCTGGAATGCGAGTCGTAGCCGTGCGATGAGTCGGTCCGAGTCTGAGCGCGCACCTGTGGCAGAACGCGGCCGGGGACATTATCCGAAAAGCCGTCACGTTCTGCCCAGATCGCTGGTGCAGTCTCATGCGCGTTTGGGAGGCTCATTTCCTTCATTGATGATGATGGACATTAATTCATAAACTGGATTTGGACTGCGTCTGGACAGTGAGAACGACACGATGCAGCACGCGTGAACGGCACTGTGCTCTCACCTTTGGAGGTTCGGGGACAAAAGCAGGGGGAGGACTGGGCTCTCTATTTTGTCTCTCTCTGCTGCCTGTCCTTCTCATACGATTCCGGGGTTCGGGGTGGGGCTTCTACACACACACAATCACAGACACGGTACAGGAGGGTTGACGGGGTTGCGCCGTACACCGACCGGCGTGCTAAAGCGGATGGCTGTTGGCGTGACTCCACTCGCCTCGTCTGGGAGGACAGGCTCCGACGACCGACTGATGGCCGACACGGGCTGGGGCTCGTCCATTGGCTCGTCCAGCTCATTGTCGGTGTAAGCCCCGCCCTCATCCGCCGTGTCGTCGTAGTCGCTGGTCAGACGGCTGTCCATGCTCAAGTAGTCTGCGCTCATCGCCGACAAGTAGGACATTCGGTCATCGTGGAGATCGAGATCCTCCTCCGAACCATCCAACTGTCAACAGGAAGCGATGAACGGTACAGCGTCGGCATTTGTGGTAGATTTCAGGGATTTT